GATGAGACGGGGGAGAAGGTGAGCGGGAGGAAACAGACGAGACATGGGGCCTTCGCAGCCGCCATGACGAAGTCCCAACGTGAAGGCAGCCCAGGGGCAAATCGCAGTGCCATGAGAGGAAAGGCCTTTAGAGACCGCCCCGGCTGAGCTGGGGGAAGGACAAGCTCTAGCCAGGCCCCTGTGGAAGGAGGGGTCAGTGGGATGAGTGCTGTGATGGGTGTGAGGCCGGCTGGGTTGTCCCCTGTCCGGGTCCTGAGGCCACCAGAGGACCCGGGCATGGGTGACATTTGGGGTAGAAGTGAGCGGCCCTGAAGGGCGCAGGCTCCCCAGTCAGCGGCCAGGGCCCTCCGAGCTTAGGAGGGTGGCCTTGGGTAAGTGACCCAAACGTGCCAAACCCCAGGTCCTTCACGCACAGCAGGGATCCTAAAGGTCAGTGGTGAGGATTAGAGGTCACAGTGCAAGTCAGTGCTTCGAACAGTGATAATATCAAAGCATTTGTGGAATGTGCTCCAGGGACCACCCTGGGCTCCGTCCTCTCCAGCTCTGATGACCTGTCCTGCAGGTGAGAGAGCCAGGACTCAGGGTGGTGACTCAACCCGGCCGGCAGCCCCGCGGGGCCTCCCCGCACACCTGCAGGAGCCAACAGCCTCAGCCAGTGCCCTGGATCCCAAAACTCACGACGTAACAAGGCTGCAGGTTATTTTGGTACTTTTGTCATTTTGTATATTGGTATTTTAGCCCCTGTACACATTTTGTTTTTTTCTACTTATAAAAAACATCAACATCATGTAGATGCTAGAGAGATTCAGAAGGATTTTATCGCCTTTTCTAGAACAAAAAAAGGCGGCCCTTAAACTGAGTGGTGATCAGTGCGAGAATCACTGGTCTACAGCGTGCTTTAGCCTGTTACGATAACGTTCATTAGGAACAATTGTTCACAGGCGCGATCACTGTGGACGCGCTCAGAACCAGCGGCGGCTCTCCAGTGTCCACTTCCTGGCAGTGACCTTTGTGTTCCACGGGCGCTGGACAACTGTCGCAGGCGGCCTTTTGACCTCTGACGTGGTGCATCCCATACGCCCCATGCGCGTGGTCAGTGCCTGGCCAAGGAGGCACCTCCTTTCTATCTGAGTCGAGAAGCCCTGAACATCTCCCCAGTTTTAAAAAACGACACATATGTCCCACTTCGCAGCCTGAAAACATACAAAGAGAAACTCCTCAGGGGCATCACTACTATAACAACTGGCTGGCACATATAACCGATAAGCTGCACAATATAACGACCGAGGGTGGTTCAGACGGGGGACCGGGCAGAGATGCAGCGGCCGGCGCAGATGGCCGGTGACCATGGAGTTCAGGGCCTCTGGAGTCAGCACGCGCCATCCTGCAGACATCTCCCGGTCACGTACGTCATGATGCATGTTCTCTTCAAAACGTTAGAACCAGCCAGGGGCACTGGCTACAGGGTTCTGCTCGCTGCACAACTCGAGGCTCGGTAGAAGTGCGTGCAGGTGACACTCTACCCAGAGACCGAGGCCTGGCTGGAGCAGACTGTCTTGGAAAGGAAATTCATCTGCAGACCTGCTTCTTCCCTGAGAGGCACAGTGAACCCCTGCCTCAGACAGAGGCGGACTTCGTACGCCCATCGTTCTCTCTCCATTCCTAAGAGGATGCCAGGGAGGGCAGGTTTGCGGGCTCATTCCAAAATCGCTGCATTGATTACGATCTCTTACTTTTAAAACTACTCTCAAACGAAGCCTGTGCCTTGTCAGGACATCTCGTGAGCAGGACGTGTGACGATCACAGGACCAGGACGACTGTGATGACTTTATGGGTGCCTTGTGGTTCTCTTCTAATTAAAAATCCACCTTGCAAAAGTCATGTTCGGAAGACACCAGCCTGCAGAACTTCTAGACCACAAACGTGCATCCAGCCCTCCTGTGCTCTCAGCCAGGGTTCCTGCCCTTAAGGTCCCCCCTCTTATCGCCGAGATGAGGGAAGACAAACCTCGAAGGGAAATAAAGTCCAACCTCTTCCCAACACAAAGTCCTAGGAGGAAAGAAAGAAAAAATGCCCCCAAACGGCAAGAGAATAATCCACTCTTGGCTACTTTTCCCACCGTGGCATCCCATTTTCATCGGCTCCGTGAGCACAGTCAGGCCTTGAATTCTTGACTACTTATTTCCAGGCTATAGTTTGAATGTTATGTTTTTGCAACTGGGAAACATTATGAATATTTAGTATCCATTGCCCAACAATCTAAACGCCAAACTTTTCTAGCCAAGACTTAAAGAACAATGCACGCACTCTTTCATGAGGGGAGATGGGCTGGGACAGCCGGCCAATTGCTCTATCCACCTGGGACTGTCTCAATGCTTCTCCCCCAAACGAGGCCCATCACTAAGTTTGCTCTTAAACGAGAGTCTCTAGAAGCCAACGCTGAAATGAAACCACGTTATCGTGTTACACCGAATTGCTCAACTTTCTCTTCTGCCTCCGCTGAGCAGACTTCTGTCGACCAAAGGTGAAATGGCACAGCTTCTGCCCAAGTTCAATTTTGCAAGATGCAGAGGCCCAACTGAGGATCAGTTCTCCAGCTTCTATGTGGGACCTTTTCCCATTTCACTTGATAATTATGAAATATAAACGTGCCTTCGTGGGGATTTCTGCTGGATTACTGAAAAGTTTCCACTATGCTAGGAACGAACAATAATAACGACAAACACCTTTTCCTTCCTCGTGGGGGAAAATAAACACCGTCGCCTTAAGTTTCTTTTGGAAAAGGTGTAGCATCATCCGTGGGAGAGCCGTTTACTGTCACATTCCCCGATCCATTCATTCAACCGACCAAGCTCGTCAGAGTGAATCATTTTGATTTTTGCCATAATTCCTCCTTCAAGCCAATGCTTTAATCGCAGCCAGAACGGCTTTTTATAAAGGACATGATACAGACAGTGAGCAAGCCCGGGGGTGCCACGCCATTTGCTAACTTGTCTCCCTTCATAATAGCTGTTTATGGGCCCTAATGAGTTTAAGTGTGCTCCTCATTTGAAGGGCAGAAGTGACTCCTCACAGATCTGTGTCAGGGAATTACCACATTTTGCCACAGGCATCGCTCACTGACTCAACTGCTAGGACAAGTCGCTTTCTCCCCTCGTTTTTTGTTGTTTTTTGTTTGTTTGTTTTTTTCTTCCTTCAAGTATTTATAGGTCTGGCAAATTTACAGAAGTTTATGACACAACTTTTAAAAGTGATACTTTTAAAGTACATGTTCCCAAGGCCCACCAACTCATCGCCCCACCTCTTACAAAATAGGCAGCTGTAACGCATTCACAAAAGACTTCAACTCTCACCAAAAATACTTTGTAACAAGAGAGCAAGTGGGAAAGGAAGGGCCCAACATCCAGAAACCGTGAGTGACGGAACCACAGTAAGGAACCTGAGATGTGCTGCTCGTCATTCGGTTCCTGAGTAGGACTAAAAGTAACTGGGCGGCATCGACAGGTAGAACCCAGTGGCGTCTCCAAGGAGGAGTAAGGAGAGTTCTGGGAACCTCCGAGACAGTGACCACTGTGCAGCAGGAAAGCCGCCAGGCCCAACTGCTGACCAGCCCAGGGGCCGTGGGCACACCGCGGCATCACTGGGAGCCTGCGTCCCTCACCTTCCATGCGTATAATTACTCCCTCCCTGTCAGGAGGGTCAGAGAGAGACGGGAAGGCATTGTGTAAACTGTGAAGTGCTGTGTAAGAGCAGCGTGCTATTATCATATCAGTGTTTTAGCATCTAAACGACAGGGCCGGCTCGCTTATCGCCGACGTGTTTAAATGCACCCGGTGCACGCATTCATATTTGTTTCTCATTTCACAGATGTTCCGCGTGGAATGGGCCTCGGAATCGTCTAGTTGTTTTATGGAAGTTGAAAGCGCGAAAGTGGCTTCTGACCTGTTTTCTCTTCTAACGACAGATGACAGGGAAAAACCTTTCATTAAGCTACGTCCTAAGAAAGACTCCTTCCGTAAAACCACTTTTCAAGGAATGAGATATGCATATGCGTATTCGTCTTCAAAATCATCGTAAACACTGACTGTCTTTGATACTTCCTAACTTTAAAAAATGACATAGTATATTTTTGCAGTCATTCGTCAAAATTTTCTCTCTATGAAGGTTTATTCATAGCAGCTTGCAAATAAGAAAGGGAAGAAGGGAAGAGGGGAGGGAGGGAGGGAGGGAGGGAAAAAGGACAGACTGAGTTTAACACCTTAAACTCATTCATAAATGTGCTCCATGCATAAAGTCTATTAAAGGACCAGAAAATGGCAGCAGAGATTAAAAAAAAAATGAAGTAACTATAAGGTGAGGTTTCTGATTCCCTAATAACCTTGCAGCAAATCGAAGCCAAGAAAAAGTTCTGAATTCACCATATTTGAAAGCCTCTTAAAATCAACACCTTCAAACCAACGGGTGCCAGAAAAATTCTTTGACGACCACTTTTGTCTTTCTGTCATTCATCTGGGCTTAGTCAAAAGTAGATGGAATGGGGTTTTTCATTTCTTGTAAAAGAGATGACGATTATTTGACTTTCTAATACTATATTAAAGCACTCTTTAGTAGGAAAAAAAAAAGATCTTGCAAGTTAGTACTAGAGCGAACTTAAAATGGTTTGTCTCGTTGATCTTGCTCAGAGCAGAGTTAATCAGCTACCTGAGTTGTGACGTATGGGGATGGAGTAAGGATCTCACATACGTGCAGGAAGCCATGAAACCTCCCTACTATTCCCAGGCGTTCAGTGTTTGTTGACGAATAAGCAAAACCAGGTTTTTGACATTAAGAAGAATCTTTATGAAGAACTTTCTGAAATCCCATTTACAACGATCAGGTGAGGACCCGCACAGATTCATTAAGTGACGGATTTTTATTCCGGACACTAAAATACTGACCAATATATGAGTAGGGGCAAAGAAAGCTGAAACATATAGTTTGCCCACATGAAGGTCAGCTCGTCACGTCAGAGAGACGACCTGCAAGGTGTCGACTTCCTCCGAAACCTGGAGTGAAACACAGGCACCTCGGCGAGGAAAAGCAACCGCTAACACAATCACGACGCTGCCCACGCCGCAGGTGCAGGCCCGCTCGTCCACAGCAAAGACCTCCGAGTACCGCAGGTCTGCTTTTACCGTGAAACCCTTGTTATCTGCTACAACAAGACGGTCACATGCATAAAAGGACGAGCGAGGGCAGCCTTGCTGTGGGAACACCACGCCCACAGGTGTCTTCCCATTTTTTTTTTTCCCTTTCGCCAGGAGATTGGGCAAAAATCTCAGTCTTCAACGTCCAGCTAAATGTTCTCTTTTTGAGAAAATGGCCCCATCAGACATAGCATCAGCCCCTTTTCTGGGCTCCCACCGAAACCCCAAATCCCATCCGTGATAGGAATTTGTATTACAGTGAAAGGGTCACGTGTCCTGTTCCTTGCTCAGCTCTTTCAAAGGCGCGTCTTGTTCCTTGGGTACTGTGGAGCCCAGCGCCAGGCCAGCGTGCGGGCTCACTGCCATACGTCAGTGTCTCCTGGAGGGCTCGCCTTCACAGACCGGAGGCCCCATCCCCAAAGCCTTTCTATCAAGTTCAAGGTGCTCCTGCGGCTGTCTGGGCATCACACTGTGAGACTTATCATGGGATTAGTTCATGAAAAAGAAATGCAACTTTCAGGCCGAGTTACTAATGACCTATAAAACGGTTCCCAGAAGCTCACGCAATGAGTCAAAAACGGGAGTCAGACAACAAAGACAAAATTTCTTCTCTTAATGCACTTATCAGAACCACCCGGGGAGTTTTGAAAAATGCCTGTGCTGCCGACCTCCAGGAATGATGATTCGCCAGGTCTGGGGAGCAGCAGCGGCCCCCACCTCCCCGCCTTTTCAAAAGCACCTCGAGAGATTCTAAGGTATGTTCCAGGTTCAAAAGCTACTGCTTAAAAAAAGAACAGCACAAAGTCACCTCCCTGCCTTTCCGGTTCAGTCACTCATGTACGAAACCAAGTAATCGGGTGCCGTAAAAATATAAGAAATGGGAGATTCCTAGCTGAGGATTCGCAGCAATATGCAGATACGATACCCAAGGTACGCGCATGCCCGACATGTGATTTGTCAGTTGCTGGTGGCCGCAGCCACAGCCGTCTAGGCCAGAAGGCAGGTGGCGATCCAGGCCCCCGCCGGGCTCAATATGGACGGTGACAGTGAGCATGTGACAGGCTGGGGGCGGGTTGTTCCACTGCCAAAGACAATGTCTGCAAGTGAAATATCTCGGAAAACAGCAACCCACGGCCACACTGCTTTCTCAGCTGCAGACCCGTGTGCTCTGCCGCCTCCTAGACCTTCCCGAAACCCGAGCACCTCGAACGCCCCAAACACTCACAGCCCCCACGAGTGGGCTCAGTATGTATCCAGGCTCCCAAGTCAGAAGCCTGCGTGTCACCCCGGGATTCTCTATTTCCTAGGCTCGTTACTCCTAATCATCAGTCGGTTCTGCCTCCCGGCCGGCCTGAGCATCCTCCGCGCTCCTGCTCTGTCGTCTGTCCACGCCTGCGCTGACACCCTGTCCACTGCTGCGTCCACCATGCACTCCCCACGACGCTGCCGGTCATCTTTCTAAAACAGCAAACGCATCTCTCCAGCTCCTCACTCAGAACGCCACGGAGACCCCCCTTTCACACAGGGGGACAGCGAAGCCGCAGCGTCACCCTCTACCCCTCCCTTGCCACGGCGCTGAGTTACCAGGCAGTTCAGAACTTCACTGCTGGTGGCCCTCCCCTTGGAATGGCCTCACCGTCTTCTCCTGAGAGATACCCAGAGGTCTTTGCAGGAATCCCTTCCACTGGGGCTGTATCTGGTCCCCTCTCCAGCCAGAATTACAAGCAAGACTAAGACCAGAAGACTTCTTTATCCCGCCATTGCTTCTGTGACATTGTCACACTCGTTATCTGTAGCTCTCTCTCCCCCTGACTGACTTCCCATCACATAAAGGCAAAACCCTGCCCCACTCACTCCTGCAGCTCAAAATGTGGATGGCACAGTGCAAGGCGCTTGCCGTGGGTCAAACGTAAAGAAAGAAAATGCAAACAGAAGCCCACGTGATATCGGGCAGCAACGCCGGAAGGGGGAACCGTCGTGGTTAACCTGTGCCGTTATTTACACGAAGCCGAGGCCATGTGCGCTCACCTCCTCGCAGGGCACGATGGCGGGTGCGTCTAGTCCCGCCGACGGGCTTTCTCAGCCACAGTCCCCTACGCTGCGGTTCGAAGCTCTTGCTAGTGAGAAGCCCCAAGTATACTCAGAAAAGACACTCTGACTCCGGGTCCTTCTCTGAGAAGCCACCAGACAATATAACGTGGAGCCGAGAAGAAAATTCTTTCTCCGCATCGGGGTTCGCACACCACTTTCCGAAGCAAGCTGCAGAAATCCGGTAGGAGTAAGATTTATTTTAAGCATGTGCAGTTCGCAGATGCTGAGTCCACAGAGTCGGGCATCTGATATTATACTTCGGTGCCTTCGGCGATTGAAGTGTCGGGTCCAGCCCTTAGCTCTTTTAGCGGGACTCAGTAAACAAGGCCCACCGCTCCCTGGCCCCAGCGAGGTCTCCTGCTCCCAGCTGGCTCAGAGAACTTTCTAGACAACTGAATCGAGTGTGTCTATCTCCATGTGTAGGAAGGAAGCTGTGCCTAATCACTCAGAAAAAGTGAACAGGGAAAAGGGAATGACCCAAGAGAACGAGCTAAGATTTACGTTCTATCTCGTTTGTGTCGATGGTTCAAGAATAAACCAGTCACAGTCAACTGAGACCAAAAATGTATTTTTATCACGATTTCCAATGTCCATAAGTGACAGAAGGAGACAAAATGGGATTCATTCAGTACAGATCGGAGGAGCAGAATCTAGTGTTCAAACTAGACTTACATAGAAACAATGCACGAGCGAGCCACTTTCGTGAACTTTGACCTTTTCTCAACACATACCCCCTGTAAGTAAGACCTAAAGAAGCCCATTTATCCTGTACTAAGTCCAAATTAAAACACAGTCACGAACACACAAACACAACATGCACAGGAAGCCAAATGGCGAGAGCCAAAAGATTTCCTAGGTGGGTCCTTCAACAGCTGAGGGTCCCCAACATCCTGACCTCATCCCATTGCAGGACCTGGGGAACCAGCATGAGGCTGTCTTCCCTTAAACACACAGAATCCTCAATTTCATATCAGAGCTGGCCTGCCAGTCCTGTCAAAAAAGTTTCAGACACTAGCTGCTGGTCCTGGAGCGTAGATCAAAGGAAAAACAAAGCATATTTTCTTTTTAAACAGGGAGGAATCCATCATCTTTACTGACACCACCTCTAAAAACACTTCAAAACATGTGAGTGCCGTCCCATGGACGGAGCCTTAACTAACGGAGCACCACGGATTCTGGCAATCAGCTTTTTCAAACTTCAGGATGAGTTCCGAAACATCGTGGACCATGAAACTAACCCCGTGAAGCCAGAGATGGCCAGGAAGGGCTGCGATGGGAGGTGGGGCCAGGGTGAGCCAGCGGGGCTGGGGCTTCCTGCTCTCCGGCACCACCCAGACCTCCCCTAGAACATCTGCACCTTCCCACTTTGCGAGGGCAAGGGGCTTGCTCAACATTCCTCGCACAATCTCCAAGTCCACTGTCGATGTGGTCTCAGATGCCTCCAGGGAAGGCAGCAGCCTGAGCAACCGAGGAGCTGTGAGCAGAGGTCCAGACCCCTGACCAGGCGGCTGTTTGTTCTAAGTGCACACGATGGCCCATTCCAAGAAACCCGGGCCTGGTCTTCTCCACCCCACCCCGGCACCTGATGTTAGATGCTCACGCGCACCTGGCCTGGCTCTCCTGACCCCAGCTCACGCAGGCGGAGGAATCAGGTGGCCGAGGGAAGATTCTAGGCCAAGCAGCCTGAGTTTGAATCCTGGTTCCGCCTCTTAAGGAGCCATGGGGAAGCCATTTTACCTCTCTGTGCCTCAGTTTCTCCATCTATAATGCCCACCTCGCATGCCTGTTGTGAAGATCAAACGGGTTGACAGCCCGGTAAAACCATGTCCGACAGTATGAAGAACGAGAGATACCGGACCTCAGAACCGAGCAAATCTCCCTAAAATGAGCGAATTTCTTAAAACTGACCAAATTTGATTGATGTGGGTCTTTAACACTTTTTTTTGTTTGTTTCTAGTTCCTCTTTTAACACTTTATGAAAAGAGCTCCTATTTTTAATAATTTGCCCCTTAAAAATTTTTTTTCATATTACTTGAACTGAATGGCGTTTATTCGCCTGCTCTCAGTATTTTTTTTTTTTTCCCCTCCAGGAGCATTCTGTTTTCAGCGAATACAGGACTAACAGGCAAATTAAGCGGTATTTATATTTTTCTCAGAAACAAATCTCCGAGCACTAATAGTCGCGCTCAAAGGGGTAACAGCAACGAGCTGGGGACTTCTCTGGAATGAGAAAAGTGAGCTTGCGGTGCTGTTCCCGCTGCGAAAGGGAGCTCCACCTGCGACAGAGGCCCGCGCGGTGAGCGGACCCCGAGGGCCGCCGCCTGCGGGGCTCCGGGCAGGGGGGAGGAGGCGTCAGATCCGAAGGAGGGAAAGCTTTCAGTGAAAAGACTAAGCACAGTTACGGAAGCCACCCCCCACCTCTCCCCTGTCCCCTATTTTGCAAGATGCTTAAAACTCCAGATGTTCCGGGAAGAGCTCTTTGCATTGATTGCCAGGTAATCATTCCGCGGTCTTCATCAATCTCTCCTCTGCGCCAGCGACTCCCCACACCTGGCGGCCCAACGCCGCCACCCGAGCAGCTTCGGAAACTCCCCGGGCCAGGTCGCGCCCCCAGCGCAAGGGAATGGGAAGGTCTGGGGGTGGGAGCCCCGCAGCGGGTTTTCGTTTGGTTCGGTTCGATCTGGTTTCAATCCCGAGTGATTTTAATTTGCAACACAGTTTGGGAACCACGACTTTTCTGCCCTCAACGCCCCGCAGGCAAACGCGCCCAGCGCCAAACCCCGGTTCCGCGGGCCGGTGACATCAGCGGCAAGCACAGACCTGACTCTCGGAACCCGGGCTGCGCGATTTTGAAATTGTGCAATTAAACCTTCTGAGGCATGTTCCTCGTGTCAAGTGGGTTTATGGTCGGTAG